ACTGAATGATTGTAAGTTTTAAAGGGCATATTTTAAATACAATTTTCTCTAACCAAAATAAGCCACTGACTTGGAAGAGAATGACTCTAGCTGCCACGTCACTATTTATTATTACTCCAGAGGGAGCCCAGGCTAGATAAGAAGTTCTGTGATGAAATATCAAGAAACAGTTCCAGCCTTTCCCTTGGGAAAAAAGCACATCTCTGACCAGAGGGAATGGCCTCCACCGTGGCAGAAGGCAAAGCAAGTGAACCTGGATTAACTGACACCCCAGAGGTCACTACTGGGGATCATGGAAATCCACTATTAATCAGCTTTACTTGGCTGTGGCCTCACCTGCTTCCCCAGGTATTTACAATGCTGCCATCCCACTGCTACCTTACTAAGGCATGCACTCGGCTGCTCTGAGGTAGGATCTTAGATTTTTATGGAATTAGAGAGGATTACCCAAATGTCTAGGCATTTTCTTTGGACATCACTCTGTAACTTTGAGAAGGCTACCTGGAGTCACTTTACCTGATAAGAGCTATGTAGGTGATCTCTTTTGGATTGAGAATGATGAATACAGGTATTCACTCTTTTGCAAGTAGATCATTGAACAGGGGATGCATTCACTGGAAACACAGGGATAAGAGGAGTCTGCCAATGTTTTCCAAGGGCCTGAGTGAGCTTACAGAAGGGGAAAAGTGCATGAGGGAGCTAAAGGTAAGAAGAGGGTGCTTAGCATTTGTTATGAGGACTCCTCAGATGCTGATGGGCAGGGGGCAGGGAGTATAATATTAATGCAGTAGCATGGATTGCTGCCCTTTGAATATTGCTAAGGCAGGAATGCACTGTGTAAGTAGTCAGGTGTGGGTCAGTTTCCTGCATGGTTGGGAAGAAATTAAAGTGCTGAGTGTGGTCTTTTCTGTTTCTATTATTTTCTATACACCTGCCTCTTTTTCTTTCTTCTTATGATGCACATATGTGCTTGTGATGATTTCTTCATAACCATATTCCATTAATAAATCCACTGGATGCCAACCTAGCATGCTGCATGAGAGGCTATCAGGCAGAACAACTAAAGCAAGACATGGAGCTGTCTCCTGTTGGACACTTAGCACCTAGAGTGTAATATCGAACACATTGTGTGTGGGGCTCTGCTTCTCACTTTGCCCCATCACTGCTGCTCCTGAATAAACTCTCTGCCTCTCATGAGCCCTATTTCCTTCTCTATGCCATCAGTGGGATGGAATAAATGGGCCATGTGTATGCCAGATGCTTTGGCTTCCGTTGATGCTACCCATGTCCACCCTGCTGTTGGGAGACATCTCCGAGGAGAGAGTAGCACCCCCCTTCTGGGAGGGGTAGCTGGCAGCTTCACCCAGTGCTCTAGGAGCCCAGGTGTACTTTTTTTCTGGTTCATGTTAGTATCTTTTACAATATTTGTTTTATATATGCTGGCATCATGCACAATCTTCGTATGGAACTAATTCCTCGTTTAGTGGGTGTTCAATAACTGCCATCCACATGTCATTACAGCACTATTTTTTTTAATAAGAAGAAGCTCTCTTATCTTCTTTATTTTCTACTGTGGAAATTTCAAAATTGACTGTGAGAATGAGCAGGGAAAGTAGGGGCCTGATTCCCTATAACAGGGATTCCCTATTATACCTGTGTAACTGGTATGCAATCAGTTAGCATTTAATGAGGGCAGCATATGAAAGGACATCTCCAGAAATACATGATCATGAGAACTACAGACAAGGTGAAGGACTGGGGGGAAATTCAAGTCATTGGATACTAAACTGGCATAGAAAGGGGGCAGTGATGTCTGATTATTCAGTATCTGAAGCAATGGTTCTTAATTTAGAAACATAGACAAAGATAACAGGGAGAGTGGTTGTACACAAAAGAAGAGCTCAGTGATCAGTTTGTTGTGGCTACAGAAATTTACTAGTAGTGATTAATAGCAATGATGTGGATTTCAGCACAATAAAACTGCTAGATGTATTTTTCTGAAATGACAGTTTTATTGTGTGACTTCCTGCTGGAATAACTCACTCTTACAGCCTGTTGCTTGATATTTTGAGCCATATACTCCAAGCCCTCAGTTTGCAGCCCCTTGTACTCCATGACCCTGGGCTCTCTAAGGTGGTCATAGTTGGGGTTGGACTGGACCTCCCTCCCTCCCCTCCCTCCACATATGTGTCAATGTGTGCTTGCAAGCCTTTCCTGAGGTTAGCTGCACCATCTCCCACCCGGATATCCTTATGTTTTTAGCACTCCAGTAGGTCTTTCCATTGTCAAGTCTGAAATTTTTAATTCAGATAAATTTCCACCTCTAGTGACACTGTTTTCCCTAAGTGGACCCCAACTTCTCTTGGCTCATAAGTTATGCTACTTTCTCCAAAGCAGTCATCACACACATGGTCTTTAAACATTTCATGATTCAAGGGTATTTCAGCCTGTGGCCCAGGGTAAGCTTATCAAGTGGAGCATTTTGAAAGATATCCTTAGAGCTGACACATAGCAGCTTATTTGCTATGTTTTAAGGAGAAAGCACAACTTTTAAAGTGAATGCCACAAAGCCATCTATGTTTGTTGTTTCTGGTTCAGGAACAATATAACTTACTGTGTCTCCTGTTACACCTGCTGGTATCTTTCACATCTTTAATTGTACTTACTTACAAATATTTTCATATATATATATATATATATATGCATACATATATATCTCAATATGCTGTCTTTGGAACACTTTTCCTCATTTACAAAAAAATAATTCTCTACCTTTAGAGCTATATGATAGTTTCAATTAGTGTTATAATTCCATGCTTTTATTGAAAGAAAAATGAAATCCAGAGAAAGCAAAGATTTTTGGCCAAAATGAGTTGTCTGCTGGCATGAATATTTTAATTTCCAACCAGTTTTCCCAGAAGAGCTCTTGTGGAAGCTTAGTCATAATGACTTTAAATGAAGTCTCTTTGCCTATGGGCCAGAGCTATGGTTATTAAAAAGCTGTTTCACTTATTAAGGAGGCAAAAATTGTTGACCTTTTTCAACCTAGTTTAGAATCAATATTTGATTCTCAATTTATTTTATTTCTCCTCCTTCACTGATAACCTGTGGTAGATATAAGTTTCAGCACAGAAATTTTGTATTTTCTCCTTTGTAATTTTACTCCTTTATCTGGACAATTACCCATAATAAATCTCCACCTTGGATGAACACTAAGAAGAAAAAGTGTTCTTTATTGATTCTATTATTTTTTTCACTTGATCTTAGCCAAAAGGCCAAGAAGCAATGATTCTATTATTTTTTTCAACCTCTGGGATATTTTCTTTCTCCCTGATGCTTCAGAAACTACGTGTTTGACTGCTGTGGAACCAGTAGATGTATTTATAATATTGGTGGACAGTCCATTTTCCAAACGCATGCCTTTTCTAACATTCTGTCACTGAAATGAAGCAAAGTGCACCATGATCTAATAATGAAAGCTGACAGTTCATGTCTCAATATCCCTGTATATATCAAAGAGGTGTGCATTTGCTTTGCTCTGGAAAAAAGAGCAGAGGAATTATTTCTATTTAATTCAAGGAAATTTTAATATTATTTCACCTTATTTCCTCTAACTTACAGAATTTCTTTACTATCTGTAGTTATTTTTATTTATAAGCATGAGGGAGCAATGACAAAATAGTAAAATAAATGAAAAATATAAGAAAGAAACCCTCATTAGCAATGGATTCCTAAAATAACATCACATCCTGCAGTTTCAGGATGCACCCTACCAGGAAATCTGTCCATGTCCTAATGAACAATGTTTTGAGAGATGCTCAGCCCAAGGATGAAAGCTGGACTGAATCACGGAGCCACACACTGCAGCAGACTTCATGGTGCAAGTAGAAAACACAACCATGATGTGAAGCCCAAGTCCTGTAGCTAAGATTGAGATTTATGACCCCATGCTGACCTGGGAAAACATACAGACCCAAGCATTTAAAACACTCCATCCTAGAACATAATGATTCTCAACACACCTACCCACAGGCAGCTTAGACCCCAGCCTCCAATGAGGTTAGCAGCACTGCCATGCTATATCTTTGAGGCCTCAAATTCTCAAGGCCCTTGCAGTAATAATGTCACCAAAACCATACAGTTTACCTAACCTTGGCTCCATGGTCACATCATATCAGTTTCCTAAGGCACAGGTGGATGTAATCATCCTAATGGCAAGGAGCAATTCAAGTTCAAGGAACTTAGATTATGACACAAATAGGGAATATGGCACAGGGCCAGCCTCAAGAAACTTCCAGCCTAAAATGATAAGCTATAGGGTGCACACAGAAGGTGGCTCCGAATAAAGATAATGCCTTTTTTTTTTTGGTACCAGGGATCGACCTTGGGTCTTTGCACTTGAGCAGCAGGCAGTGAAACCACTGAGCTAAATCCCTGGCCCGATAATGCCAATTTGTAAAATACTGAGGGATCCTTGCATTCACATCTCATACCCTCCCTGTAGAGTACAGGCTATGATGACCTGGTGCAGAGGGAAATGTATCTGCCGGTGTCACATGAATCATTAACATTGCATCAGGACTCAGGAGTCTGAAGGTGATGCTCTCCTTTATCCACATGGCATCTGACATGGTTCCTGGTGGTGCTGGTCACTATGGCATCATTCCTAACCCCAACTCTCTGCCTGTAGCCCAGGGTGACCATGTGACACAGAGATGGAGGCCACTTCCCAGAACTCCACTGACTTCATCCTCCTGGGCTTTACTGTCCACCGGACCCTACCGGGGCTGATCTTCACTGTGGTTTTCTCCATCTTTGTGGTGGCTGTCGTGGCAAATGTGGTCATGGTGCTGCTCATCCACTTGGACCCCCAACTGCACACACCCATGTACTTCCTGCTCAGCCAGCTCTCCCTCATGGACACGGTCTACATCTGTGTCACAGTTCCCAAGCTGCTCCAGGACCTGCTGTCTGAACAGAGGACCATCTCCTTTCTGGGCTGTGCAGTCCAGATCTTCCTCTACGTGACCCTGATCGGGGCAGAGTTCTTCCTGCTGGGCCTCATGGCCTATGACCGCTACGTGGCTGTGTGCAGCCCCTTGCGCTACCCGGTGATCATGAGCCACAGGGTCTGCCTGTACATGGCGCTGGGCTCCTGGCTGGGCGGCTCCCTGGACGGCTTCATGCTGACGCCCGTCACCATGAGTTTCCCCTACTGTGCATCCCGGCAGATCAACCACTTCTTCTGTGAGATCCCAGCCGTGCTACGGCTGTCCTGCATGGACACATCGCTGTATGAGACCCTGATGTATGCGTGCTGCATGCTGATGCTGCTGGTGCCCATCTCCATCATTGCTGTGTCCTACACACGCATCCTGCTCACCGTGCATGGCATGACCTCAGCGGAAGGTCGGCGCCGAGCCTGGGCCACCTGCTCCTCGCACGTCCTGGTGGTGAGCATTTTCTATGGGGCAGCCTTCTACACCAACGTGCTCCCCCACTCCTACCACACGCCTGAGCATGACAAGGCGGTGTCCGCCTTCTACACCATCCTCACGCCCATGCTTAACCCGCTCATCTACAGCCTGAGGAACAGGGATGTGGCCGCAGCTCTGAGGCGGGTCCTGGGGAAATCCACCTCTCCCCAAAGAGTCAGGGTCAGGCCAGACCCAGGGGAAGCCAGGGGGCCCACAGGAGCCGGATGACTTGGCCAACAACCCAGTCCTCCCAGAATATGCTTCTTGGAGATGAAAACACTCAGTGTCACACTGTCAATGAGCATTCTCAGCCGGCACATCCTCCTGCTGAAGCACCGTGTAAGGGTTGTCCCTGAAGGTGGACCACGGCGCAGCCTCACCCAATTTGCTTATCTGGATTCACTGACCTTTTCCACGTAGTGCTGTCAGCTAGCAGCACTGTCAGCCACCCCAGGCAGGCCGTGCAGGGTATGTTATGTGAGACGTGCGGTCATGTGTCCCTTGTGTCTGGGTTGCTGGCCCAGTTTGGGGATTGGGCTGGGAACTGAACCCAGGACCTACCTCAGGCATGCTAAGCCCTGGTCCACCACTGAATTACACTTGAGGCCCCTCCTGACCGGCTTTTCAAATGAAAAGTTCAATCCCGGCAAACCCATGCTCTTGATGATTCAATTTCAAGAATTCACTAAAAATATTCTTGATTGCTCATAATGTGGTAGTTTTATTTAGGAAGCTTTTGTGAGGATGATAGGATTGTATTTTGGGTTCTATATTCTGAGTCACTTTGTAAAATATCTATTTCATCTTTTACCTGTGAAATTACATGTGGATTATCACCATACTTTTATTCATCAGGGTCTAATATAAGCCTGGAAATTAATAAATATTTATTCATTTATTGATTGGTTCAAATTTTATTCTATCATTAAGATTACAACATTACTACAAACCTACAAAACTTCCATTCATGCTTTAATAAAGTGATAATAGATAAATATAGAATGAAAAAGTAGAGACACTTCATTAGCTAACTTAGATCTCTTGGGTTAAATAACTTGCTCAGTATAATTCTCAGCCTCTCCATTGGTACATTGGGGACAAATATTTCTCCTTTTTAAGGACTTTTGGCTAGATGTGATGTCTTGATAGGTGGACAAAGTGGGTAGAATTTTATCTAAAAAAGACTACAGTAAGCCTTCTATCATTTACTTATTTACCTTTTACTTCATCATATATATAAGGTCCTAAAAGAAAAAATTTAGCAAAGCCTGTATTGATTCACCTGGTGTCTATTTTGTCTATCAGTAGGAGGCTTAGAGAAGGTTGGATGAGTTTTTAGAAGTCACATAACAGGCAACCAAGCAAATGTCATTCAACCTTACGCTATTTTGGCACTGATGTAGAGACAGAGGGGAAAAAATTTTCCTCCCCCAATGCAAATGCAGGTAAAGAATATCACCTGGTTTTACCTCAGAAGGTTTCTAATAATTTTACCTTTGCCTTGAAATGAAACAAGGAAACAAATAGAAAAGAGATTACAGAATGTCTAGGAGGGATGAACGTCTTCATGAACAGAAACAGACTTGGTTCATTCGTGAAATACCTTCAGCCTTGTCTCAGCGGTTCCATTCCCTTTGCATTCTCTGCACCTCTGCACTAATGCTTTCTCCCTTCCCTTCTGCCTGCCTTCACCAGCAACCCTCTTTCAATCTCTCCCTCTACCAAACCACTGCATCTCACACTTCACATCCCCTCATGAACTTGTGTCTTCTTCCCCTTTTCCATACTGTCTTGCTTGGAGCTGAGCTGCTATATATTAATACCTAGTAGGGCTTTTGTTCTTATATTTCCAAGATTAACTGTTTGCACATTTAACAAAGCATGCCAACTCCTAGGTTGATAAATACATCAAAGGTACTTGAAAAATGCAAGTTAGAAAAGAGTATTTAGTCAGATCCCTAGATACTGCAGGTGCTAGTGGCTGGGCATGGCAGAAGGGATCTTCTGCAATGTTGTTCAATGTCTTTTCAACAAACAGTGGTGGCTACCTGGATGTGCTCATTTTATAATGATTTACCAATCCTCCCACTTCTGATGTGTGAGATGTTATACTAAATGCTCTATGGGTTACTGAATGATTGACTGACTGATGGAGAGAGACAGCCTTGCTCTGTTGCCCAGGCTGGCCTTGAACTCCTGAGCTAAGCAATCCTCCTACCTCAGCCTGATGAGTTGCTCATGGTACACGTGAGTGCCGTCTTGGACAGCTTATACATTCTAATACAGTCTTTTTAAAATTTCAAATCTCATCCTACACATCGTGGCTGCCCACTCCCTTCTCATAGATTAGTCCTCTCTTAAAAGGGCATGACCAGGGCTTTTCCTCAGTCATTTCACAAAATTTAGATACAAGGTAATTTGTGGTCACCATACCTTCCTCCTTGTTAAAAACAATATATTAATGTGGGAAAGAAAATTAAGAATTATACCACCTTAAGATTAATTTTAATGCTACCAGTTCCATACTTTCACTCTGTCATCAGCTATTCCAGATGATAAAGCAAAGTTAAAGACAACAATGTCCTTTTAAAAAAAATTTCAATACAATATTAGATTTTGATCCTGATCCTCACAAACTCCTCTGAAGTGTTTAGATGAAGACTTAGCCCCACAGGTGATGGAGAAGCCACATTCAGAGCAAGTTATTGCAACACTTGAGATGATGCAGACTGGATCTCCACCCTGTGGTCTGGTATTTTGCTGCCAAACATTGATATTAATCAGTAGGCAATTTCCAAAGGAGTCAATGTGTCTCCAAATGCAGCTTCTACTTTGTGATACTCCTAATCCTGACCTAGGGACAAAGGCCCCTCTGGGAGCAACACACAGATAAAATCCACATTTATTCTCTGTTGAGCACCAGCTGAGCTGGTCTTGCAAGGACCTGATGACTCATCTTGATGGGTCATGAAACCCCCTGGGCTCTTCATGCAGGTAAGGGATATGGATATGAAATTACTTGAACATTTACTTCTACACATTTAAGTAGACATTTATGGTTCTATAATGTCAAAGTCTAATAGTGAAAAACATAAAGTCTCCCTACTAAATACTTTCTTAAACCCTGGGAAGATTTCAGCTTAAAATACTTAGACAATGATTTAGAAGTCAGTGCAGACTATGTTGCCCACAAAGTGAAGAATAGCCCTCAAGTTCTGCTGAGAGATGAACACAAACTGCCTGAAATATTAGATCCTGATTGTAGAAAGATGTTAAATACAGGAGTCAGGGTAATTGGAACAGTAGAGGATTTCAAAGCATTGGGATGTTACTTAAAACCAAGGGCTGCTTCATACACAAATGTTAAGGTCAAGAAGATTCATTTTTACTGTTTTTCATTTGAGTTTGTGTTGAGGTAGAACTTCTTACATACAAATAATCACCATGGTCATTTCCAAACACCCCATCATGTACTTCATTCCAAAGGAGAGTCTCAAGGGGCACTGATGGGTGCAGTATTGACCAGCTATTTGAGGAACTAGCTAAGACCATGAAAGTGACAACTAGATGCTGACAGTGTCCACTCTGATTATCCTCTGTTGCTTTTCTGTTGTTGCTTTTTTGTTCATTTATAAGCTGATTTTATTTTTTAACCTACTCATCACATAAGCAAAAAAGGGATCTTCATTTTCCATGGAGATGCATGACAAGCACCTGGACAGTTTCTGGATGTCAAATATGTTGTCAGTAACTATTAGGAAATGAGTGGAAAAAAGCCATTTCACTTTAGAAGGTTTATCTTTCTAAGGTACACATTTTAAATTTTAAGACCTTTTTTATGTTTTTCTGAGGATTTCAGGTTTGAAGAATATCAGTAGCAACAAAAGGTCCGAGAAAGTAGGTGAACACACAGAAAATTGGATGTTAAGAAAGAAGCTGGAAACAGAATAACTGTAGTGAAAATCTTTCCAACTTCATACAGTCCTCAGTGATTTCTATCAAGTATTTTCTTAGTTGTGGCTCAGGTAAGGAACTGTCACTGGCTTCTTCCAGATTCTTCACAGATGCTTTCTCCTCTGGAGGTGACAAGAAGTCAGTCACACAGGGAAGTCTTGCCCAAGGGTGGAAACCTTTTTGTGCTGACTAAAGACAGAGACGAAGAACACGGTTTAGAATGGCCTATGTCAGTGATATTATGAAAAGTGCTCCCTCCCTGAATTTCCAAAGGGCTTAACTGCAATGAGCTGTGATGCAAATTTGGCAGACTACACATTTGGAAAGACAAAAATCAGAAAACTTGTTTCAGTGTAGCTAAAACCATGTCCTTTGAGCCTCTACTTCTGACCACTGGATGAATCAAGGCTCAACAGAGAAAGCAGCTCTTCTATCTCAGAAAACTGTGGGAAATGTCTTCAAAGGGATAAAAGGTAATGTCATGTGATCTCCAGCATGGTTGATCACAAATAATAGTTCTTTCTAATTTGGAATATTGTAAAAAGCTTAACTTTTGAGTATTTTTAATAAAAATATTATAATGCACACTGTGAATGCATTAAGTGGCTTCAATATGAAGAAAGAAATTAGTTAATAAAATATATATTCTTATATATTTGAAATATATATACATACACACACAATAAGGAGATTGCAAATATGCCACATTTCTCATTTAAAAATACAATGAAACTGTCAGCCATGAATACACATCTAGATGTCCCTTATATCCATGACCACTTGGAATTCTATTATATGCCAAATCAGTTTAGTATGACTTCGGTTAGCAAATACTTCCATTACCTCTACTGTCTTATTACTGGAAATAGCAGCAAGATGAATTGTTATACAATAGGTTGACCACACATCTGACCATCTCCATACTACAGTTTCTAAGGAGTAGAAATTTACTATTTTCACACCCTGAACAGTGACTAGGCAGTCTCTCAAAATCAAAGTCATTCTCATCACAGCAGCAATGTGTGTGAGTCCTCCCTGCAGCCCAATGTTCACACCACCCAGCCTCAGCTAGAGGTCCAAGGTGAGTGAGTTTGCCTGAAGTCCCATGTCTACAGGGCAACCTCTCCTCCCTGCTCTTTGGCCTTTGCAGCAGAAGGGAAGAGACCAGTGCTCAGTCTCCAGCTCCTCTTTTCTTATCAACTTTGCTCACCACCTAGTTTTCCATAACCGAGTGGGTTGATTTTAAGCCACAGGAAAAAAACTGTCTCAAATTT